TGCAGGACTGGCCTAGGGTAATTTTTAGAGGGGTTTTAATTATATTTTAAATCGGACAATATTTAAATATCTCTTTTAATTAATTTTAAATTTGTATTGTTATTTATGTATTTTAATTGATTGTCAGCCGCCCTGAGTCCTACGAGGAGAAGGGCGGGATATAAATCCAAATAATAAATAAATAAATAAATAAAATAAATAAATTACAGTGATCTTAACAAGATTAGAAGGAGCATTCTTCAGACCAAGAAAAGTAACATTTATTCAGAATTATAATTAAACTACATACCTGTTCAAACTGCTTTTTTGCCATGCTACTCACTGATTTGTATAATGAAATCTCTTTCTTACATATGCCTTCTTATAAAGTTACTTTAGAGGAGGATAATTTTGTAAATACATTTATACTGACTAGAATCTTACATCTGTACTTTAAGAGTCTTTTTGGAGTTTGATGTCCTTAGCAAATCAAAGCAAATCAAATTAAAATCTCAAAATTGTTTGTTGCAATTCCAATTCAGTAAACAGAAATTGCTTTACTAGGGGAAAAAAGCCCTTAATTGCAGGGATCAAGCACAGTTGTTTTCCCACATGCTGCATAACTGTTTGAATAGCTGTGTGCTATTTAAACTAGAAGTGAGACAGGAGTTTTTATAATGCTCTGAGACTAGGATTAGTTTTCTGAAGGACAAACCCAATTTACATTTACACCTGTTGCTTTCAAAAAGCTCTAGATCTTTCATTTAAACATTTTCATGATAGTGCTTCATATCATAAATAAACTTTAAACTTTTTAAACAACAATTTTCTACATAAAGAGCACCATCAATGCAATCCAGTCATATAAATTTAGTTAGAATTAAAGATGCTAATTAAAGATACTAATTACTGAAACTAATTTTCTCTTACATGCATTTTGTATAAGCAAAGAAATATTTATAAACCCTGCATAAAATCTTTTTATTAGAGAAAAATATAACTGCTGATCAAAACATTCCTAGATGTGTTAAAATAAAACAATTCTAAAGACAAGCTATAATAGACTAAAAAATTAATGTATCAATTATTGCAGGCCAAATTATACTTTATATATCCTAAATTTTTAGGATGTTGTTTCATCCTGTAATACAACTTGTCTTTATTCTTTAAAAGGTTTTTCACAAACCTAAAATAAAGTCAGGTTTACTTTATTATAAGTAGGTACTGCAGAGTTTATGTACCTAAGCAGATGAGCAACCTGAATATAACACTAATAACTCTTACAAGAATGGAATAAATTTAGCACTAACTCACCTCTAAATATTTAAAATTCTTGTCTTCCAATTGCAGACATTTTAGTAGTAACAGTATCCCAATGGCATAAACATGCTTTGTTCCATCATATTTTGATCAATATGTCTTATAAGTACTGAGTTTTTTAAACTATACTTTCAAACTTTCTATCTGAATGCAGATTTTATTTTGTACTACATACAAGTGGATAAGCAAGTAGTGGGGGGAAATACAGTAATTAACTCCATATAACTTATCTTGCCCTCAATCAGCCATGTGTACTGTATGTGAACATATATAAGAAAAATGAATGGACTTGGGAAAGTCATACTTGCAGGTCTGCAAAAATCATGTATCTTTTAATCCTGTGTGATTTCTACTCATTTTTCACAGCTAAATTATAGAGCAAAGAGTTCATTACTTTGGATTGATTCGCTTTCTTCTAAACACATTACTACTGGAATATTACAGCAGCAAACTGCATGGACAAGAATAAAGGGAAATAAGCTTTAACACAGAAATTGCTGCAATAGCAGAATTAATTACTAGTATATAATTCAACCATTATGGGGCTGGAGGGAAGAGGGAAATATCAACAGTGAATTAGTCCTTAAGTTCTATAGCCATATTACGGTATTCCCTATCCTTAAGGGAAAAAAACTCTGTAAAAAATATATTTTTATGCCGTTATCCCGAACGTGCTTTTACCTTAATACCATTTTTAATGTATACTTGGGTATAAGCCTCAAAAGTTATCCAAACTTTTACGCAAATTAAATAAAGATGTTTAGGAACCTAAACTTGGAGACCATGTTCTTATTTATAGGACTAAGATTTAGAATAATTGCATCAGTACTTTAAAATTACACTTTGAATACAATTGTTTTTTAAGTTTTCCCTAAACTCTTTTTAGCAGCTCAAGAGACAAGGATCAACTAATCTAATTCAACCACTGTGTACCTACTGGCAAAATAACATGGATTTTCATCTAAATTACAATTGAGCTGACACATATTGTATTAACACAATGGATCTCCATATTTATACCATAAGTTACTGAAACTTTACATTTAAAAAAAATCTTTGTTGTTTAATAGTATTAGATTTTTATTTAAAGTGATTATCCGTGCAATCCTACATACTTAGAAACATACTCAAGATTTTGTGCAAGGCAAATAAAAACATTTTAGTGGAGACTAACTACTATAGTTTGCAAACACAAAAAGCAATTCTATGTATTATTACTTACAAATATTTCTCAGTGTGCTCAATGGGGCTTGTTCCTTGGTAGGTACCTTAACTATTAAAACCATACAGTGCAATGTTTTGCATACTTACTCAAAAGTAAGCTATCCTAAATTGTACTGAGCGTGCTTCCAGGCACTAGATTGTACCCATGGTCAAAATTGACAAAGAAAATAGGCACAGGCTGAAACTGTTTCTTCGAAGAAATGAATGGGATCAGAAGTGTATTGTGGCCAACATACATACAAACCCAAAGTAATGAATGTTCTGAAACCTCTTGTTCCTGCACAGAAGACAATTTCTAGGCACAATTTTGCACTAGAGAAGCATCGTGTTTCTCCGTTAATATACCTTCCACTCGTCCTCAAGGCTCTTTAGGCCAAGTCTCACTGACTTCGGAGAAAGATTGCCCTTCATTTACATAACGAGAAGAAGCAAACACCGCACCCAACTCATTGGTTACCAGAAGCAAAGAAAACGCATCTATTCTTTGGGTGCCTATTTGTCCGCCAACCAAGATAAAGTAACTGCTGCAGCAACAGTCGGTCCACGAGGCCCCACTCGCATTTAGTACTCCATGCCAAAGAAGAGGAAAGGGAGGAGAGTCCTCAGCCAGAAGAAAGCTACATCTCGAAGAGGTGTGTCCACGTCTACGCTCCTGTCAAACCACATCCAAGCAAGCCAAAAATAAGAGCCAACTCAAAATGCGCGCGCGGGGGTCAAAAAAGTGCAGAACTGCCGCGAACAGCTTTAGTCCTTGAGCGCTTAGCCCGAAAAGCTTGGGGGGAAAAGATTCGCCTTTGCCCCCGCCTCTTCTTCAGTGCCCACGGTTATTCCCGCCCTACTAAAGTGAAATGCGTGTTAAGCAGCATGCCCAACAGAAAAGCCAGCGTTGTTACCAAATTTACCTAGGGCTAAATGCGACAGCTGTGCTGGCTCAGCTCTGGTCAGATGTCAGCCGCTCCTCTCTCCTCCCCTTTCAAATAAAACCGCGCAGCATTCAAAGCGCAGAACTGCCCGTCCAGAACCGGCTCTCCTGCCGGCCTCGACCTAGCAGTGCTTTCCAGAGCGAGAAAACGAGCGAAAGCGGGAGGGAATGAGACCTGCCATGCCCCCTGGCTAAATGCAGGGGTGAGTTCCCCTCTCGCAAGATCTCCCACCTCCTCCTGCCCCTCCTCAAAGAGGAATGCAATGTTTTCTCTCTCTCCTCCCTTTGCCTTTTGATCATCAGAAAGGTGGACGTGAAGGTTTAGCTGAGGAAGAAGAGCCCCCCCCCCCCCCTTCTCAGTGCAAACGACCCACTATTTAGGGGAGGTTGGGCAATTTGTAAACAACTAAGGGCAGCGCGCGCTCCAAACTGCCCCAGGACCCAAAGAGGCCGAGAAGAGAGGCAGCTCGGGAAAACCTGAAGGAGAAAAGATAGTCACTAAGAAGACTTGGTTGGGGGAGGTCGAGGACGAATATCCGGAACAAGTGACGCCGACCTCGCAGACACCAAATACTCTGCGAGGGGCTGCTGATCTGACATCAGCGTTTTCCCTTCTCAGTCCGCGCTTTAGAATGCAGGACCCGGGAGATCCCGCAGCGAAGAGAGGAGAAAACTGCGGCGAAGGGGGGAGGCGAGTCCAGCTCCGCCTGCTTTTCTTCCTCGGAAGCCAAAAACGCTCGGACCTTCACTCGGGAACCGGCGCCACTTACCGAACACGAGGAAGTCCCGGTCTCGCGGCACGCCGTGGGCTCGACTCGCCCGTCTGTCAGCTGCGCAGTGCCGCAGCCACCACCAACATTCACGCTGCCATCTCCGCCATATTCCTGGGGCGTCGCGCATGCCCGGCAGCGGCCCTAGGGCTTCGCGTCTTGTCTTCGCGGCCCCCTGATGAGGGGGCGGAGGCGGAGGCGGAGGGGACTGGTGGCAATTCAGCCGCTGCTGCCACAGTTGCCGCTATGCTAGTGGCCCGCGAGAGCGAGTTGGGGGACGTTCTCGTGCGCGCCACAGCACTCTCGTACACTTGCTGTTTATACCGCTGCAATGTGCTTCAAGTGGCTGCCGCCGATACCTCACTGTAGGTTTTGTCCCGAAACGATATAAATATGGGCTTTCTCTGAATAGAATTGTTCTTGAATTGACAGATAATATTGGATATTTATGTACTAATGCGTTTTGTAAGTTAGAAAAATGAACGGTGCAAAAATGAAACTCTGCAAATTGCATTTCTAACTTGTCTGAAATAGATAAGCTGTTAAGCATGCGAAAAGAGATTGTCAAAGCAAACTGGAACCAAAGTCAAGAAAGACCAAGTTCTCAGGAAGAGGTTCAACAAAGAATATCAGAAAACTTTTAGAACAAACAACACCTGCAATGAGATTAAAAATAAAAAAACCACAGAGAAATAAATTTTCCAAAGAGGTCTGGAGTAAGAAAGAGATTGTAACTTCAAGCTGATACGGTGAACAACACTAAACAGATAGTACAGAGATAGTCCTTGACTTACATTCAATGACTGTTCGAAATTACAAGGCCACTGAAAAAGTGACATCAGTTTTCAAACTTGTAACCATTGCAGTATGCCCATGATCATGTGATCAAAATTTGGGTGCTCGTCAAATGGCATGTATTTATGACAGTTGCACTGTCATGTGATCACCATTTGTAACTTTCCCAGCTGGTTTCTGACATTAAGCGAATCTGGGAAGCCAGATTCGCTTAATGACTGCAAGATTTATTTAATAAAGCAGTGATTCGCTTAACAACTGTGGCAAAAATATTGTAAAATGAGGCACAACTCACTTAACAGCTACCATGCTTAACAATGGAAATTTTGGACTCAATTGTAGCTGTAAATTGAGGACTACCTGTAGCAGATTGAAACAAATATGGAAAGAATATATTGAAATATTTTCAACATCCAAGATAACTTTTTCCTTATTTACAAGAATGTCTATTATTAGAAGACTAAGTTAGGTTAAGGTTCCAGTCATTACCAAATTGGAAGACTACAGGAATTGATGGAATATCTATGGAAACATGGCACTCTACAAAAAGCAATAAAGGTTCTAACCAAACTAGAGTAGCAAATCTGAAGAATGTTACAATGGCCAACAGATTAGAAGAGACTGATCCAAATGCCAATAACCAAGAAAAGACAGTTAACAGAGTGCATTCACTATTGCATAATGTTTAATTTCACATGCCAAGGAAATAACACTTCGGATCATCTAGATTAGAGCCTTACATGGAAAGGGAGATGCCAGACCTTCAAACTTTTTTGCTGAAGCATATGAAAAAAAGCCAAAAGATACTAAAAAGAAGTCAATATGTGCTTCATACACTATAGAAAGGCCTTCAGTTATATTGACCATGTCAAGCTGAGGAAAGTTCTTAGGAAAATGGTATTCCTAGAATATCTCATTTTCCTTGTGCAAAATCTCTACACAAAAGAAGAATCTCCACTACAGACAGAACAGGCAAAACAGAGTGGCTCCAGGTTGGCAAAAAAGTGAGGCAAGGTATTTAGTTTACATGCTGAATATATATTGAAGGAGGCTGGATTGGATAAGATAAGATAACCTTTATTGTCATTTTTTTACTGGGGGCACAACGGCACACATCAACAATGAAATTTAGTTGCCTGCTCTCAAAGTGCAACACATACAGGACACACACCTAAATATAATATGTACAACATATGTATAGACCCACACCCCTACATACACATAACAAATAAATATTAAATACTGTCCATCTTGAATATATAACGGAAGGAGGAAGCTTGAGAGTTCACAAGGTTAATGCTGTATGGAATGAAACTATGGCTAAATCTGGATGTTCTGCTACGGATACCACAAACCCTCCTCCCAGAAGGTAATAAGGAAAAGAGTCATGAAGAGGATGTGGTGTCCCAGATAATCTTACGGACCCTGCTCAAGCAACGCTTCCTTGCTGTGTCCTGGATGGGAGGGAGGGAACTGCCAATGATCTTTTCGGCCATTCTCACCACTCTCTGCACTGCCTTCTTGTCTGCAGCAGTGATGCTTCCAAACCAGACTGTGATGCTGTATGACAGGATGCTCTCGATCGTCCCTCTGTAGAAAGTGGTCAGGACAGGGGAAGGAAGATGTGCTTTTCTCATGCAACGCAGAAATGCAGGTACTGCTGTGCCCGCTTCACCAGTTTCTCACTGTTGAGCGACCAAGCCAGCCTACTCATTAGCTGCACATCCAGGAATTTGATGATGGTAACCATCTCCACAGGTGAATCATTAATGCACAGAGAAGTGTGGCGGTGCCTGCCTTTTCTGGAATCGACAATGATCTCTTTGGTTTTTCCGGTATTTAAAACTAAGCTGTTTTCCTTACACCAGTTCCCCAACCCCTCAACCTCCTTGCGGTAAGCTTCCACCTTGTCATCCTGAATAAGGCCCACTGCTGTTGTATCATCTGCGAACTTCACAATATGGTTGGTGGCAAACCTAGCACAACAGTCATGGGTCAAGAGGGTGAACAGCAGCGGACTTAAGACACAGCCCTCAGGAGAACCTGTGCTCAAGAAAATGGTATTAGAGGTATTTGTTCCAACTCGCACATATTGGGGCCTGTTGGTAAGAAAATCAAGAATCCAGTTGCACAAAAGAGTGTTTAAGCCTAAAAGGCCCAGTTTGTCTACTAGATGCTGGGGAATGATTGTGTTAAACGCTGAACTGAAGTCGACAAACAACAAACAAGATGAACAGCCTTAGAGGGTTTAAAGCTTTCTTCTTTGTCTTTATTTAGTATTTTAGCTTTCTGCCAAACCATGTTTCTAGATTAGTTTTTTCCAATGTGATGCCCTCCAAATGTATTGAGCTACAACTTAGAATCTCAGTTAGTATGGTTTTCTGTTTGGGAATTCTCAGAGCTTTTGCACAATATATGAGAGGCACATCAGATTGGGAAAACAAAGACTGCTAATGAAACAAATCAGAAAGTAGTGATGGGCATTGTGAATATTGTCTATAACTGTCCAAATTCTAACAACCTGTCATAGAAAAATGAGCCACATGGAAATAAAGTATCATTTTTCCTCACTACTTTGATAAATACTATAAGTCTTTTGATTTGGCAGTATACAAAATCATACACTATGGATTTTGAATAATTTTGAATCAGAATAACTATGGAAAACTGTGGAATGACATTAAAAGAATTAACCAGGTGGGATAAATTAAAGATATCCATGCTAGGTAGAATTTTAGTTACAAAAATAAAAAGAATGTTTCTTATTTCAAACTATACCAATCATGATAACTGACATAACTTTTAAACAATGGCAAAAGGATATTTTTAACTTTGTGTGGCAAGGAAAAAACAAAAACTAAATATAAATTTATTTAGGATTCTCCTTCCCCTTTTCCTTTATTTTAGTTTGCATTTTAATGTTTGATGTTGAACATTTAAAATTTGATGTTGAAAAAATTGTGTACTAAAATTGTGTATTAAAAATGTGTACTAAAAAGTAGATAGTGTTAGATATTATTTAAATATATTTCATTGACATTGGAAAGTGTTCTCTCAGACAAGTTGTTGCAAAAAGATGGGTGGGTGAGTAAAAACCAAGGAATTCCAATCAAATTTATTTTTTATTTTTTGGTTTCCTATCTTCCTCATAGAGAGAATTATTAATCTGGGGGATTCACAATCCTGGGAAACATTTTCAAATGTATAAAGTATCAAGATAACTCATGACCTGTTGGCTCATCATTTCAGAGATATTTCCTTACCTAAACAGAGAAACAATGACCACAAGCAGGCAAAAAAATCAGTGGGGAGTGGGAGCAACTTCGAACTTCCTGATGACTTTTACATGAAGTTTCCTTATGGGAAGCTGGCAGTGAGCATTAGGAATCTTCTTTCCTTCCCACCTCCTCTCTCCCCTTTTTCTTCCCCTCTTCCCTCCCTTTCTCTTCCCTTCTCCTGTTTCTTCTTTCTTCCTCTTTCCTGCTTTCCCTCCTTATCTCCCTCTTTCTTCCTTCTCTTCCTTCCTGCCTCTTTCTCCTCCCTCCCTCTCTTCCATCTATTCATCCATCCTCACTCTTTCTCCCTCTCTGTTCTTTCCCTCCCCCTTCCTTTTTTCCTTTCCCCCTCCTTCCTGGCTTCCTCTCTCCCTTGCTTTCTCTTCTCAGTAGGCAAGGAAGTGGCTTCCTTTCTCTCGCTCTTCCTCGCTTCTGTTTCCTTTCCTTCTTTCCTCCTTTTTCCCTTCCTTTCTTCCTCCCTCTTCCTTCCTCCCCTTCCTTCCTAACTTCTTTCCTCCCACTCTCATTTCTCCCTGTTCATTTCTTCCCTCTCTCCATATTCCTCCTTTCTTTCCCTCCTTCATCCCCTTCCCAGCATGCAGGTAAGTGACTATTGCCATGTGGGTGAGGAAAAATGGAGTGTGAGCACAGAAGGAGTGAACCACTTCTTCACTGATGTTCTCTCTGCAAATTTCCCACAAGCAAAGACTTTGCTAATGAGAAGATGGCAAGGAGCATTGATGCAATCCTATGAGTTCCTTCTGGGTTCCCCATCAATTTATGGGAACTGTCAGAGAACATTGAAAACGAGAATCACATGACTGTGGCTGATTGCAGCAGTGTGGTGGTGGCACTGAAGCAGTAAAAAAAAATCCCAAATTTCATTCCCTCAGGATTCTATGTTAGCGCATTTGAGGTACCTTTCTTGACAAAGGTTTGCCCTATGATGCTATGTTTCATCCAAGTGAAAGTTACAAAGTGTCAAACATGATAATTTTAGTACTACATAGATAGTAATGAATGTTGCTATGCTGTCATTGTATT